AGCATGAAAAGAGTTTAAACTTGTGTTAGACTACAAATGTGGAGTACTCTCTCTGCTGTTTGTACTTCCAAGACTTATGCATTACTTTCTTGGCCCAAACATCTGAAAAACCTCAATTACTTTTAACAAGAATAAAGTAGAAGAAAAGTTGCATGTCTCATTATCTTATATGTTAAAAAAGAAAGAAAGAAACTTTTCTTTAAAAAGAAAAATCTATTCCCAACAAAAAGAGACAATGTGCAATCAGGCTCCTTCTGTACAAATTCAGTTTCCAGAGCACTGGGGATGACAGCCTGGCTCTTGAGCTCCTGGGAAAAATCAAGAGGCTCTGGTAAATGAATAGACTCTGGAGTTTTCCTTCAGAGGAGCAGGTACTATTTAAAGCTCCTCAAAAGTTGCCACTAATATACAGCAACAGCAGGTGTGCTGAAAGTATGCAGTAATGCATGATCCAGGCCCCTAATTAATAAAACTATTCTCCACCTTGCCTGCAATCTGCGCATTTTCTCTAACTTAGTTTAGTGCCACATGAAATAGTATATGCTTGCTATGAACAGATTTATAGGATTTTATGGATTCTGAGGGCTGGAAGGCACTTTAGGACTACTCAGTCCACAAGCTTATTCCATGAACATTGGTTGTTTTCTTCTTGCTGCATGGCCAAATCACAGTTTATATCCCTTCTGGATGGAGTCCTTTAACATTGCCCGGTGTGCAGATAGCTCTGACTCATCTGCACAGTAGGACTCTTGGCTGTGTCCTCCCTAAATACCAATGCTGTAGGGAGGACACAGCCAGGGTTTGTGGTTAAAGTTGACAAAGTACAGTGGAGTATGAAGGAGAACTGAGGTAGAATTTTAAGAAGAAAGAAACAGTAACACAAGGTACCAGAGATGAGGTGAGATGGTGTATGACCAAGTCCTTCAGTCACATGGGAAAACCACTGCTCTTATAAGCCACAGGTCTCAAATAGGCTTGCAAGCCAAGGTGAAGGTTTTGCAGTATAAAACATCACAAACAGAGGAATTTAGGGGAAATCTAATGAAGCTTGTCAACACAGTGGATAGGGAGTCAGGCATCTTGATTTCCAGTTCTGACCCTGCCATTTCAGAAGAGGCTAATTCAAAATGGAATAATGTATAGTTATCATAGCATTCTCAACTTTATAGGTACTCACCCAGCTCTGTACCCAGTGGAGTTCTTTTACAAGTGAATACATTTAAAATTCCCCATCTTGACTGAGACGGTTAACATGCCGCTGCCCCAGGTCCTGCACACTTTGAATGATAGAGTTGCCAACCCAGCTGTGATAAATCAGTGTATTTCAGTGTATTCTAGATAATTTTCAAGAGACAGAGATTCTAACAGTAAATGGCAAAAGAACACCCTGGTAGAATGTCTTTCTCACAAATCTCAGAATTATTCTAATGTCTCTGCACACAAGCCCAACTCTTATTACCTCATTGAACTGCACCTTCTAGAAAACTGTCCATGGCCCCTACTGTTGCTCTGAGATCCATTATTATATTTGTGCTGAGACCATACTCCCTCAGGGTACTACCAGCAAAAGACTAAGTATGACAGGGACATTGATTAAGGATGTATCCTGGGAATTGACAATCTGTTCTGACGGCCGATTTTGACTAGAAGTCTCCTGAGACTGTGCAGCAATCTGAAGTACTTCCACCTAAATGTCTTTCTTTTGCTGTTTCCTTGAGGGCAAGACCTACATTTGGAATGAAAGTATGTAGAATCATATAAAAACATGAGCTATACATGTAGCACAGCAAACAGGCCCCAGTGCTGAGAGGAATATCACTCTTTGCATTCCCAGCCTCCCAGGATGCTGGGGGGATCAATACTGCCATTTCTAGATTCACATCTCTGTTGAGATTGAAACTTTGTTCACCGTCACAATTTGTAAACATGTATTCACACACAGATTATTCAAAAGTCTGTAACAGATTGGAAAAATAACAATGCAATGAACTTACACCTGTCAATAAATAGAAAAATCTCAAAGCTTATAGAATTTCTAATTTCTAAATATGTTTGAAGGTTATCCACCGAAAGGATTTTTCTGATTTATTTTTAACAAGTGGACTTGTTATAGAAACCAAAGACCTTCTCTAGAGACTTGTACCCCATGTATTGTTGTAGCATGTGCAGGAATATGCACACAATATTGTTGTACATTTTGGACCATTTTTCTCCTGGCCCATTACTCTTTAGGGCAAATTTGAGTAGGCATTGATGATGATAAACACAGTTTAGAAGATGTTAAACCAAGCTTATCAGAGCTCATATAGAGAAACAAATTAGGCAAACTGAAGCAATTTGAGCTAATGAAGTTTGATTCAAAACATCCAGATCAATTAAGCTTCAAGTATTTGCTTGAGTTCCTGCTCTATCTGGCAGTGAGGAACTGTTTCTTAGAGGACAAGAGCTGGCAGTTCTAATTTTAAATAAAGATGACAGAGCCATCCAGTGCTTTGTGGGATACATTTCATAGGCTTCCCTGTTTGGGGATCACACCATACTGAAAATGAAGACCAAAGCAGCAACTTCCTGTACCCTCATTCTGAGGGGTCCCTGGCTCCCAATATTCCAAGACCTGGTGTGATGAGAATGTGGCAGCCTTTTCAGTAGAAGCTTCTCCACAAGGAAGCAGACTTAAGTGACACAAAGTGGTTTCCATGGAAAACTGGGACCTCTGGGAGATGGAAGCCAGAAGAACCTCTCCCTCTTTCTAGCAGAACTATGCTCCACATGCTGGGGTTTTGGTGTCTGCTTTACTTTGGGTCCTTTTTTATTACTTAAAAAAAGGTAAAACTAAACAGAACAAAGGAGATCAAAAGCAAAACAATGTAAGTGACACAGATTTCAAAGCAAAACAACAGGAGATCTACAGTGGCTACCATAATGTCTCTTGTTTTCTTCTAAATAGTTGTCTATATCTTCACACACAATGAATTCATAAAAAACCAAATAGTATAAAACTGGTCAGAACAGAGTAATGAAAGCATTATAGGCCTTCAACACCAGACAATAGGAAAATCAACAATGGCTGCCGTAATGTCTCTTGTTCTCTTCAAAATAGTTGTCCATATTTTAATGTATGTTGAAATTAAATAATTCAAAAAGACTAAAACCACTCTCCACAAAGAATAGAAACCTTACTGGTTTACTTTGTATCATGAAAGTCAGCTGAAAACCCATACGTTGAAGCCTTACTCACCTGGGTAGCATTACCAAGAAGTGGTAGAAACGTGGAGCCTTTAGGTTACCGGAATGTGACTTTGAAGGGGATTTGGGAAGCCCCTTTTATCTTTTTTTCATGACCTACCCATGAGATAAGGTCCCTTACCACAGGCCCAAACCAGTGGGTATGATCAGTCATAGACTGGAATCTCCAAAACTGTAAGCCAAAATAAAAATTTTCTCTATATAAATTGGTTATCTCAGGTATTTTGTTATAGTGACAGAAAGCTGACAAAAAGCATCCTGATGTATAGAATGAGAAATATAGACTGGATCATTTCTTTCCATCTCTAAGTTCCCCATTTCAAGCCTGGTCTTCCTCCTATTGACTGGGAGGTTCTAAAAGTGGAGGTGTATAGATGTGCTGTGTGTGCATGGCCAGCATACAGTGGCAAATTCTCCTGCAAGGACTGGGGTAGGAGAGAGGAACTAGGAAGAAATACCGAGTCGGGCCATTTCCTGGATTTGAATGGTCTTAGCCTCTATTGTTTTTGTCCCTATTACTATTCTGAAGCTTAACTCAGGTCACTATTTAATATGGTAGTAGCAGGTGGCTCATCTCACCTGGCACACATCTGGGAGCCTTGGCCCTTACACATTCACCCCAACCACACACTGAAGCTGAAGGGATCATCTCTAACACCCTTCCAGTCCCAGTCCCTCACCACCACAGACACCCAGTGCCCCCATCCTGCTCTCACCTTCCCAGAAGTGTATGTCATCCAGACAAGCGACTTCTCAGTATTCCTGGAGCATAAGTTCCCTGCCACTGAATACTTATTTATCCATAAAATATGCATGCCCTAGTAGCACAGTAAGTAATTGTTACTATTATGAAGTCTATGCAAAATGATATTAAAATCATATCCATGTATAAAAGAAAACGATCATTTTAATTTTCCTGGCACACCCTAGTTTCATCTTGTGTTCCTTTTGGGTATACACAGGGCTTAAGATTTACATTTATAGCATTAGTATCAGATGGATTTAGGACTAGGCCTTAACTCTACTCCTTATCACCTGTGGGCAAAATAGCTAGGTTTCAGTTTTCCTATTTTTAAGATGATGATGCATTTCCTTTCAGTATGATAACTATCTTCACCATCTAGGTATTTTCCTTATCCCATTTTGAAAATATTTCATTGTCTCATTTATTCACTTCCAAATTAAGTTATTTAGTCTACAAATACCTGTGAAGCACAATTTATGTTTTAAATACTGTTCTGATGGGAAGGAACAGGCAGGGCCAATGCAACAAAGTGCTTGCCCCAGTGGACTTTATATCCTGGAGTGCAGAACAAGCAAATATATCTCATGGTATGCCAAGTAACATTATGCCTTTATAAATTGAGTGTTCAGTTTATAAAGATATAAAAAATAAAATGTTATGAATAGGAGCAGGGGAAATCTTAGATCGGGTGATCAAAAATCCTCATTGAGAGGTGATATTTATATAAGTACCTGAAAGAAATGGAAGAAGAAGCCACATGTGGAACTGAATGTCAAATATAGCTGAAGGTACAGGAAAGAAAAAAGACGTAAGTAGACAAATGGACAAAGAAAATGTAATACTTATACACAATGGAGTACTACTTTGCCATAAAGAAAGATAAACTTGAGTCATTTACAGAAAAATGATGCACATTAAGATCATAATGTTAAGTGAAATAAATCAGAAACATATCACACAGTTATATCTATCACGCAGTTTATATTATCTGAGAAATGCAAAATATAAATAAATGGTAAAATAAAAGCTGATAATAGGAACTCAAGAGATAGATTTTGTTTATAGGGCAAGAAAATCAAGAGATAGAGAAAGAGGCAAAGAGGTGAAGGAAAGATAAGAAGGTGAATAACAAAAGGAATTGGATGTGCCATGTATATGTACCAACTCCACCCACGGAATATAAACATTATCTACCACGCACATACTACTAAAAAATAAAGTATGATAATAAAAATTTAACAATAAGGAGGATATTGATGATTTTAATAACCATTATTGCCATGACTATGAGGTGAGAACACGGAGACAAAAAATGCAGACAAAATTTTTAAGAAATTTTCCATAAAAGGAAGCAGCAATATGGAGAGATTACTGAAGGGAGGTAAAGAGTTTAGGAATTGCTGTCTTGTTTTATTTTCTAGGTGAGAGGTCTCACAGAATATTTATATGTTGGTGGGAAAAATCCAGTAGAAGGCCATCATTTCACGGAAAGATGACAATCTGATGTTCAGACGACTGTGAATTTTGCCATAATTTTTAAAATTGAGATCATCATATTTATTTTAAGGAAAACAAAACAGATTAAAGCCAATTGAAACACAGCAGTAAAAGTGTTATAGAACTTTAAAATAGGACAATAGGAAATCAACAATGGCTATCTTAATATAACTTGCTGTCTTCATGATAGCTGTTCATACCATCAGGCATAATAAAATCAAACAAAACAATAAAACCAATCAAACCAAGGAATGAAAGCATTATAAGACTTCAAAGCAATATAATAGGAAACCATGATTATCATAATATATCCCACTATATTCAAAATAGCTGCCCATACCATCAGACAAAGTAAAATCTAATGAAAGAAGACAGAACAAAAGCAAACCTAACAAAATTGTGTAAACGTGCAAGAGTTCAATATAAGACAATAAGAAATTGACAGTAGTTTCTACTTTTCCCTCCCAGGGGTTTCCTCCCTTTCCTGTTACATTAACTATTTTGCTTTTGGATCCCATTAACTCCTTGTGTTTCTTGTACTAGGGTTCACATGAGTTCAAACTGTATTGGCCATGAACATGTTGTGTCCACTTGCCTACAGGAGCCTTGAGGTCATTGTACTTTATAGCTGGGTAGCTTTCCATTGTATGAAAATACCATATCTTATCCATTCTGCAGTTGCTGGGCAAATTACTCTTTTTTTTTTGGTCTCCTGTCACATGGAAAAAATTGTTTTCTCTCCTTTGATTTTCAGTCTATGAATTTCCTTTCCAGTTAAATGTGTTTCTTGTATATAGTATATAGATGGATCTTGTTTCTTAATCCACTCTCCCCATATTTCTCTTCATTGCTGACCTGAGGCTATCTACATTAATGGTTACAACTGGCATACATTGGTTTGTCTCTGCCGGCTATCCTTCTGTTGTTGGCCCTCCACTTTTCCCTTTCACTCTTGTTTCCCCCTGTCTTGTTTGGTGATCCTCCTCTGCTGCTGTTCCTGGAACCGTGGTCAGCTTTATCTCTCTCTAGAATATCCTTTAGCACTTTCTGTAGAGTTGGTTTGGTAGTTATGAATTCCTTCAGTTGTTATTTATCATGGAAGGGTCTTATTTTTCCATCGATTTTGAAAGATAGTTTTTCTGGGTAGATCAGTCTAGGTTGGAAGTTGTTTTTTTTTTCAGAGTTTGAAACACTTCACTCCAAACTCTTACTGTCTTGATGGTTTGTGTTGCTAAGTCTGTTGTGATTTTGATTGATTCTCCATTATAGGCGATCTGTCTCTTTTCTCTAACAGATTTACTATTCTGTTCTTGTGTTGAGTTTCTGGAATCTTGATTACTATATGTCTGGCTGTAGATTTACTTTGGTTATGGATAGTTGAACTGCTATATGCCTCATTATCTGCATGCCAGATCCATTTCCCATGTTTGGAAAGTTTTCTTCTATTACTTCTGTGAATATCCTTTTAATTTCATTTGTGTTGACCCCTGCTTCTTCACCAACACCTATGAGTCTTAAAATTTTGCTTCTTTGCATCATTTTGAAGCTTTTGAGTTGTTATTTCCTGATTTCATGTAATTTTTAAGAGATCTTTCCTTTCAGGATCACTAGCTGTAATACTATCTTCAAGGTCTAAAGTCTTATCTTTAGTCTCTTCAAGTGGTTTTACCAGCTTCCAACTGAATTTTTAATTTCCTGCACCTCTTTTTGAATCTGTTTCATGCACTGTAATCCCTTTCTACATTCACTCAAGGTTTCCATCATTTTCCTATGCTCCTCGTTTTTTGTCTATGTCTTCGTTAGACTTGTTGAACAATTCTTTCAGTATGTTTGTGATTTCTTCTTTTACCCGAGACATTATTTCTGATTTGACTGATTTTACAATCTCATGAAGCTGTTTCCTAACTTCAGTTGCTATCCTCTCAGAGATTTCATGTGTGTGACTTATGTTCTCTTCCATAACTGTATCTCCCAGGCTTATTCTGGGAGATAGAGGTCTAGAGGTCTGAGTTTTCCTTTTGCTCCTTCATCTTGACATTCTCCTGGGTTCCTCCCAAGGAGCTGGTTATGGGGCCCCAGGTACTTCCCACATTAGCTGTCCTTATGCATTGTGGAGGGATTGGACAGGCACATGGGTTCCTCTAACTCTAGATTTACAGGGAGGTAGCAAGGAATGGACTGGGCTTCTCCAGACCTGTGCAGCCACACTGGGACTTCTCTGATGATCAGGAGTGCATGGAGGTTGGGCTGTTTCTCTCAGCCTGTTATGTCTATATTGGAATTCCCACAATGGTGGCAGACACACAGGAGTGTGTTTGGCTGATTCTGTTAGTGGATGATGACTGCTGGAAGGAACCAAGGGCCTCCAGTGGTGGCCTACAGATGCACAGCTCTTACCTGCTCCTGTTGGCTGCCTGTAGGAAGAAGACTTCAGGTGGCAGCTCCCTGAAGGTGAAGGCAGATCTGCTGGTTCTCTCTGCCCATGCTGGCCACCTGCAGGATGTGGCCTTTTTGCGGCAGCACACAAAAGGCAGAAGTGTATCCATCTGTCCCCCTTGGTTCGCGCTGGGCATGCAGAAAAATGAGTCTTCTGGTGGTGGTGTCCAGCAGGCTGAGGTAGATCTTCTGGTTCTCTCTGCCTGCACTGGGCACACTGTATTAGAAATTTTATATTGATAGTATTTGATCATATCATGGCCAGAAATCCAAAGAGATACATTAAAATTATATCATGTTAAATATTCTCCTCGCCCCAATTTCCTGAGGGTCTTAGAGGACCACTCACAAGAAATATCAAATTAAAATTAAAATATCACTCTAATAATGTCATTCAAGTGCCCAGTACTCCAGGTCTAGTTGCTAATAGTGGTCAACTGGGAACCTACAGCTCAGATTTCTTTTCCAAGAAGTATTCTTGAAAATGAAATTAATGGAATCTTATCGTCTCTAGGGAACTGCAGGAAGAAAGTAACCTGGAGAGAGTGTTGGTCTTGAGTTCACTAATCCATCCCCATAGAGTACAAGAGAGAGCAAGACAGCAGGGGCTGTGTTTGTTCTATATTGGAATCACCTATCCATTAATTATTATAGCTCAGGCAATGCCTTGAGTTCTAGTAATTTGCATTAATAGAATTCTACTAATTCACATTAGATGGGCAGGAGCATAGTTGGCCAGGCCATTTATATTCTCTTCACCTTACAGTGGTAGTGGGTAGATGATTGTGGGTTAGTCAGTCTTAACTAGGAACCTTGGAAGACCATCTTCTAACCCAAAAGCATAGTCTTCATAATGAAAACTTCAGACATCAAAACACTGGGCTTAGAGAAAGGCTAGGAGTAATATTTCCACCTCACTCCTATTTTACTGATTCATGGTAAGTTTAAGCTCTTTTGAGGACCTTTCTATATTCACTGTCCACAGCTCCTTCACTATAAAACCTCCAGGAAGATCTCTTATGACTTCTGCTCTCTCCCTTCCAAGATGCTCAAATGAACATAATTTTTCCAAATAGCCCAAAACTATCAAAACTTGATTTTTATTGAAAGGAAAAAAGTAATTTCACCAGTGACTATGCTTTCTGAGTAGTTCAAGGGGACTTCCATAATTCAGGATTAATTAGACAGTAAAAGAGAACAGGAGGCATATTTTGGTGTATTAATTCATGCCAAGTTCAAATTCATTCCCTCTCTGTTGCCCAGTGTGAGTAATTATGCCATTAATCCAAGACAGGAGGAGAGCTGTTGTGACAGCAACATATTTCTGAAGCAAATAAAGAAAAATGTTACTTCTATCCATCAACTAATGCTCTGAATACAGCTACATAATAATAATAGTGTTATTTATTTATAGCATAAATTCCCTTGGGGCTAAACTACAAAATAGCAAAATGCTAAAGAGAGAAAGAGAGGAAAAAAAAGAACTCTGCTAACTCTGAAAGAAGGTTTTGGATAGGGAAAATGACCAAAGAGAAAAGCTAAATACTAAGGAGAGCTTAAAAAGAGACTGAAAGGAAGAAGTGATGCGTGACTTACCCATTTTTCTCTCCCCTTTTTCCACACACAGTTCTCACTCAGCTAGAAGAGTTTAATATATATTTAATCACACTGAATGTAAGCCTTGACTATATAGCTCTTTTGCTGTCAAAGCAAGACAGTTCAGTCTTCTCCCTTTCCTATTGCTGGGTTCCCTTGCAATTCCTGACAATTTACTGGATATAGACATATTGGTGGATCAGTATGGTTTTCTATGCATATCCTGCCATGCATATCATTACTGATGGATCAGTAATGTACAGGGTGGCTTCTGTGTGACTTTTCCAGCTTTACAACATGGAAAAAGAGATTAAGAACAGATACAGGGACCAATACTATGGGAATGAAGTTCCACATTTCCTCTGAAACCAGGAGGAGTAGGCTGAAGATCCACCAGACAGGCCCTGGATGCCCAAAGTCACAAAAGCAGTGGGAGCAAAGTCCTCACTGCCCTTACACTGGTTCTTTTGCAGGAACTTGTTCTGGGCTCACACACAATATGCCCATCCCTGCCCACTGGAGCAGAGGGGGTTCTTACAGCTACAAAGCCCGGGAGGCTGAGTTGGGAGATGAGCCAGGATCTTCTCAATAGAGCTAAACCTGGCACTCTGTCCAGGACACAAGAGTTCAGGGCTGCACTGAGCAAGACGAAGCCCTCCCAGTCTGCCTCTGATGTGTCTGACTGGTGAAAGTCACATCACTTCTTTCAACATCTATCTCCCTAATTATAGGCTGGGGAGTGGTGAACTGGTCATAAAATGTGAGGGTGAGGGATAAGAGTGACTCTTGGCTTTGGCCTATGAAACTAAGCACATCTAGTGCTAAGGGAGGAGATAAGAAGAAGACACAGGTTTCAGGTGAGATTAATCAAAGGCTTCTGTGCAGTTGCATGTGTTGCATGTACTGCACATTGATGGAAAATTATGCAGGCCAGTTAAAGTTTGCAGAAAAATCAGGACTACAACAGCTCTATTTGGCTGCTTTGGGACTGAAATTAGGTTTTAAAAAATGCATCCTCTGGGTACCTCTAAAGGACTATGTAAGCATAAGTAATAAATGATTAGATGCTTCCTCTGAGTTACTATATCAAATGCATATGCTACTTAATACTTTAGTTAAAAAAACTCTTCCTGTAACTCTCTGATTTTTCTGTTACATGTTGGATGATCTGAGTTTTAAGAATGTGCGTTTTTCTTGGAACTATGTAAAAATTACTATTATTTAAAAATAAAGTAGCCAGGTACTAATAGCTTTACTTTCCTTCAATTACTACCTCCTGCGAGGAACAAGATTTGCCTGTGACAGCCGTCGGGCACTAGAGGGCGCCCCGCACACGTCCGTGCTGCGGGAACTGCGAAGGTGCAGTCTGACTTTGGCTGCCTCGGGCCTCGCTCCTTCCCTTAAGGTGTAAATCCGGACGCCCGGACTGCGAATGAAGGAGGGCGGCCCCCAGGTCTCCTGCACTGACCATTTTGATCAGGAGGCAGCAAGAACCAGGCAGGACGTTTTCCAAATCAGGATTTTTTTTTTCCATAAAGAAGACAGCGCTAGACCAAGGAGAAAGGGAAAGTTAGGGGGGAAAGAGGGGTGGGACTGGAGATATGCAAGGAAAGTAGGAGCTGGCAGTTACTAGGAGGAGTAGGACAGCTCCAGAGAGTCAGGGCCAGCAGAGGCCTCAGAGGACCGTTTGCAGGTCCCTGTGGTAGGGGCGGGGGCTCCTGGGGTGCTGTGTCCCTGGTCATCTTCACCTGGCGCGCCATGCCCTTCCTCCTCGTCCCTCAGCAGGTCACATTCCCAGACGTCCTGTAGAGTGGGGACCACAGACAGCACCAACGCCACAAATGCCATTGTCTCCCAGACACACCTGCATTAAAGTTTGATTTATAAATTGGGCATAGTAAGAGAGTGAGAACATAATAAAATAGAAAATGAATGACACTATGCCATAATGTTATTTAAAACTTACGAATTATTTATTGCTTTTTTATCTGATGTTTTTACATTGTGATTGGCAGACAATAATCAAAACCATGGAAAATAAACTGTGGAGAAAGGTGACTGCTGCATGAACTTGTCAGAGGCCTGATAGATGAGACATTATCCCCGACACCCCTTCACGGGAGGCTTCCCCTTCCTCGCAGTCATGACTCAGAGTCCCAGTGCGCTGCGAAGCCACGTATCACAGGGCACATTCGATGTAACTTACTAGATACAGGAAGTATGAATTGAAGATGTGATTACAATAAATCACCTTATGATTTCAACTTTTAAAGGGCTCTGGGGATTATATTTCTTTTCCCAGTACTTTTTAAACAATAAAAACTGAAATCAAATTGTAAATGAGGATTAGACAGTTTAGTATCACAAAGATTTGGATCTCAATCCTGGCTTTCTTTACTTGCTCGCCCGTGATTTGGAACAACGTTTCTAAGCTCCACTGCCTTCTCGCCTTTGAAATAAAAATTATGAAAGTATTAAGTCAGAGGTCTCTTATAAGAGTTGCAAAATCAATAAGATATTGTTAGTAAAGTTCATGGTATCCTGTCAATAAGCAATTTGTACCATTAGGTCAACAGAATGTTAATATCTTTACCAAAGGGCTTATATTAATAAAAAAATATGGAGACAAGGTGTGTAAAATAATGCACAAAAGGACACAAATATAAGTAAATAACATAGAGCGACTGGTAATCAAAGAACGCAGAGTATCGGGTTTTGTCCTAGATCCCCAATCTCCCAAATGAATGTATGGTGGAAGTTAAATAAAAAGAGACAAATTGTATGATTTTTAGAGCTCCAGGAGGGTCAAAACCCTTTTAATTAAGCTCGAGATTTCGAGAGTAAAGACAAAGGATTCTCCGGATCAGTCCACTTATATTAGGACCAAGGACAAGGGGCAGAGAAACTGAGGAAAGTGCAGGCAATGAGCAGGACCTTGGGAGTCACTTCAAGGACGTCTCCAAGTCATGCATCAAGTCAATTCAGTAGCACTGTTTTATCATGAAGGCATGGTAGAAGTGAAATTGTAGGAGTAATATTTACATCTGCAGTCTCTACCCTGTTAATTTGGGTTGGAGCCAGAGTATACGCAGCTGTGGCCTCATCTTGCCCTTTGAGGTATCTCTGGCCTCACAGGCCACTACAGGCCTCAGCCAGGACCAGTGAGTCATAGAGGTTCACTTACTATAAATCAGCTCCCGTTGCTAGGCAAGGGACCTCGGCCTAGGACACACTCACAGATAAACATACAAAGCCAATAAGTAAGATTTAAATTCTGCTCAGAGCCACTTCATAGTGGTCTCCAACACAGAGTAAAGAAATGTGAACAACTTTTCTCTCCTCTTCCATAGTTTCTCATTTCAGTTAATTACAGCCTCTGTCCTACCTCAGTTATTAGACTTAGACACTTAGACAATGCATCAACTACATCCTCAAGTATAGGGCAATTTCAGGGATCAAAGTGTCAGTAAATGACTGTAAACTATTAAAGTAAGAATTCACAAGTGTCTACTGGCAGAACCCAGTTAATGTATAAATAAGTAAAAAGATAAGTCTTTTTATTTGTTACACAAGAAATTCGACTAATAATAAATGTTGAATTTGAAAATCATCATTGGTTAGTCTCCACACTATAATTTTTTAAAGAAATAAACCATTGTCATCAATAAAAGATATTTGAGGAGAAACAGGATATTACACAATAGTAAAATATTTGTCCACAATGACTTTGCTATTTTACTGGAGAATCCTGGCAAGTATAACCTTATGCAGGTAGTAAAGGTAAAGGAAACATGGCCAGTGATGAGGCCACAGCATGAGCTCCTGCTATGCTTCGCAAAGGTCTTAGATCCACCCACAGCATCCACCCCCATTATCTGGGTCTGAGCTGGAGGAGTCATGCAACCCAGCAGGCTGAGGGCCAGTCTACAAAGCCACTGACCTACACTCTTTACAACACTCCAGCCATCAAATATAAAGATGCAGAAACTCTTCCTGATTAAAGGAAACTAGAGAAAAAATCATGCAATGCAATGTGTGCTCTTGAATTTTTACTTGCAACACGCATAGGGAAAATTATTGGAACAAAAAGCAGAGAAATATAAATAAGTTGTAAAGATTATATAATAACACCATAGTAATATTGATTTCTGATTTTAACAATGATACTGGGTTTTGAAAAAGGATCCTTTCCTGGAAATTACTTTTAAATAAAATAAAGAGAAACTGAAAGAAGAGAAAGAGAAAGAAAAAAGGAGAAAAAGAAAGAGAGAAGAGGGAGAAAATTTTGAAATTGAAAACTTGGTAGAGGTTATTCAGAAATCCAATGGTACTATTCGTGTAACTTTTCTATCATCCTGTAATTATGTAAAAATAATCATCCTTTTTGAGACTCTTTCCTCCCTTTTCATTACTTCCCAATTCAGCTGATTACTGGGTCCCTGTGGCTGCTTCTCAGTATCTTGACAGCCCTACCACTTCTATTCATCTCACAGCTACATCCTAAAGCAAACTACCCCACAACCACAACAAAGAAGAAAGAAAAACAGCAAGTGTCTTAATGAAATGAACTTACTTGTCTAGTATTCTTTTAAATCAACACTGTATTGAATATTTATCAACTTTTTAAAAAGGGAGTACCCTACTCAAGTGAAATAAATCAGATGCCCATGTGTAATACTACACTGTTTCTCTGTTACACTGAAAATGTAAATAAGGACCAAAATATATACTAGATATTATGAAGTAGGATGCACATGTCCCCTATGGATGGAAGAAGGAGAAAGGAAGGAAGGAAAAAGAAAAAAAGATGAGGAAAGAAGGAAAATGGCAATGAAGCTTTTGTAAAGAAGGCGGGGAAGAGGGGTTGAAGGGAGGGTAGAGGAGTAGGAAAAAACCTCAACTTACATCAGGTGCAGGCGCAAATACTCTAGGATGAATGTGATCATTATGTATGTTAAAATGTACCAATAAACTTAAGAAAAATTTTTAAAAGGAGTAAATATTGTGAAGAACGACAAAATGAAACAAAATAGTGAATTTTCACAGGTTAACCCTCACCTCTACATGGACAACCCAAGAGAAGCCTCAAACTATTGGAAGTAATGATGTTCAACGAGATCCATACACAAATCAACTCCTGTAGAACAGCCAAGTAGAATATGTATTTTTAAAATACAACATAATAACAACAAAATTATAGGGTTTCTATAAAATAGGTAAAATAGCTGCAAATTAAAATAATAAAAAACATGAAATATAAAGGAAGACTGAATGAATAGAAAAGATTAAAATATTGATGGGCTATGTGACAGTTCTACAAATTATAAGAGGTACTCACGGCCTTTTTGCTAGGAAAATTCAAAATTTTGGGAGAGAGGAATGTGAATATTTTTCACTAGTTCTGACTAATGCGAAGTAAATGGAACACGAAGATAGAATTTTATTTTATTTTATTTTATTTTATTATACCAAGGATCAAATTCATGACCTTGTTATTCTGCTATTTTATTTCTTTATTTGTTTCACTTTCTGGATGAGGTCTCTCCTGACCTATCTTGCTTTTTCCTGATAGAAATCAGATATATCTGGAGTAGCAGCAGCCTTCTTGTGCAAGAATGCAAAAAACTAAGCATAAAGATGAAAATCAATATGGACTAAAAGAACCAAAACACAAAGAGAGACACTGTGCATGTACAACTGCTCCTCTCCGCCCGCCTGCCATGTGTCTAACGTGAACTCTTACTTTTACCCTGTTGTAAATCGTGCTTCTCTTCTTGGATTTAAAATGCTGTTAAACGTTGTAGGTGAAAACAATGTTTAAAGACGCAACTTTCTTTTTCCTAAATTATTTTTCTTCAATTTTTAGATAGATGTGATCTTTATCTGGTTGAGGAAAAAGAAACTGCTGTTCTCTGTGAAGTTGTGAGAAATGACAAACAGGAAACTACCACATCCGGGTCTGGGCTCTCTTAGGCTTTTGGGTGGGAGTTGCAAACCAGACAGCTAGTGGTTGTACAGTTTGTTCACTGCATGCACTGCCATCTCTTCAAGCTCCCTTTGCACACAGGATGCAGGGACAGCCCATCCCAGACCCCTGAGCCTCTTTCTCCCACTGCCCAGAGATGTACTCTGCTTTGACATGGAGCAGGATATCAGGAGTTTCACCACAGCAGACTTCAGGGCCAAGTCTTCATCTTCGGGTGCTTAGGGTGGGGAGTGGGGGAAATGGGGGTAGAAGGAAAATAAAACTGGCTTCCCTGGCCCACCTCAAAATGCGAAAGGAGGTTGACTTTTCAAAGAAATAACCTCAGATTCTGGTCACTTGTGAGGGGCTTCTGGTAAGTGATTCAGGATGAGCCAGGTTTCCCACCCACTCCTGTGACCAACAGCTGCAGCCGCAGGAGTTACCTTTACTTCTCTGACCTCTCTGTCTTACGAGAGCAGAAGTTTCAGGTGCCACAGTCTTCATCCAGGTGCCACAGTCCACATACAGGTGCCACAGTCTTCATCCAGGTGCTACAGTCCTCGTGGAGGCGCCCTCTTACCTGGGCTTCCTGAAAGTCCACAAAAAGAGACTCCTCACAAGTGCTCACAGGTGCTTTTTCTGATCCCTGAAATATGTGTGTTCTCTTGGTGCTGCTCCATCCACCTTCCTGTCCAGTCTGACAGCCTGGGAACTGCATCAAAACCTCTCAGCATTGTCTACAGTGACAGTACTGTGCCACCACCCTCTCTAATGTCTTATGAATGGGCACAAATCACTGAGACCCAAAAGGATGCTGTGTTTTCTTTGAAGTTCTTAATGTTCCCATTACCTCAGTGTCACATGCCTTTACGCTGCCTCTCCTCTCTGTGTCCTTAGGAATAGGCTTTAATAATCCAGAAGCTAGGCAATTCTAGTTGTGCTTTGGTGTCTCCTCAAAAGTGTATGATTTTGTTGCCTGTGGCCACTGTCTTTTAGGCACTCCTCTGGGGGCAGTGAGCTATATTATCTCCTGTCCCCTCTCTCCCTTCTTTGGTTCACTTGGATGTTCAGCAAAACATGTGGCTTTAGCCTCTCTTCTGGTCTCTAGGAAAGCAAGCTACCTTGCTGGACAGGCCGGGCATAGAAGCTCCTTCAGTCTGTAGTTTTAGTGATATGGACCTGGGGCCTATCTCTCTAGCTCCCTCACACATTCAGCTGCTTCCTCTCCCATCTACCCTAGGACACCCTAGTTTCTTTCAATCTTCTCTTTTAGGAACCACTGCAGTTACTCAAGAAGTTTTTGCTCACCTCTGGGCTTTCATTCTTCTATTCAGCCTTTAGGGAACCGTTATATGTAAAACACTGTCACTGTCACATATTGTATGACTGATCAAAATCAAGAAATGTTCAGTTAGGTATGAGGGCAAAATTTGAGTATATAGCAGTTATATTAAGAAAATAATGATACACTTCTTATTCCAGAGCAATGTAGCTGCCAACCTTAGAGATCCAACAGTTCTCTTAGGTGTTTTTCAGGGCCCTGGTCATTTTTATAGGTTTTTGCTTTTGATGTGCCCTCCTATTTCTGTATCCCCCAAATCTGTGACAACCCAGTAAATATGGTGATCTGGAAAAGTCTTTGACTTTACTCCCAGAGAATCTTTACTCCTAAGAAAGTTCTGACCTTCTTGGACTCCCCAAACACCATTTTAAAAAAGAAATAACGAAAATATAAATAATCTAAATGTCCCCAAATTTGTTGAATAAACAGTGGAATATACACCCAGAGAGAACTCAGGCAATAATTATAATTATTGTGTTGAAAGGTGATTCTCAAACAGGTCAAGTACTATGAATAGCCTGTATCAGTCAGTTAGGAGCTTCTTAAAAATACGTATTTTGAGAACTCCTGAGATCGGGCCATGGTGGGACTCAGGCAGCTTATTCACCCACCCTCTTGGTAAGTGCCTGCGGCGTGGGCCAGGAAGAGAACCAGAGCTCCTGAGATCTGGCCATGGTAGGACTCAGGCAGCTTATTCTTTCACCCTTTTGGTAAGCACCCATGGCGTGGGCCAGGAAGAGAACCATTACCTGTGAATCTACTGCCACGTGGGCTGAAAATCAAGCATACTCCCCCCCCCCCCCCGTAGCTACTGGGGATAGATGTCTCAGCATCTCTTGGGAGGATGACCATATGCAGTATAGCAAATATGGGGGATCCTTCTATCTTCTGTTTGAAGGCAAAGGTTGTTTTCACTGTTTTGTTTTGTTACGTTTCTTTTGCTCTAGTCAGTACTCTCAATTGGTTTTACAATGTTCTATTTTTGGTTTAATTTTGCTATACCTAATTGACTGGACAACTATTGTGAAGTTAAGGAGATATACCATAGTACCTATTACTACTATCCCAGTATCCTATTATGAAATCCTGTACCAATTTCACTGCATTGTCTCAATTGGCTTTGTTCTGTCTTGTGCTGTTGCATTTTTACTACTTTCAAAATAAAATTTAAAAAAAATTAATAAAATACATATTTGGTAGCATGGATCCCAGTTACTGAATCTAAAGTTCAAGGAGTAGGAATGAAATCTTTATTTTTAACGGACTACTTCAGTGATGTTTAATGCACATGAGAGTTCAAAAACTTACAACTATGTAAGTACAGTTAAGTACAAGGGGAAATGATCCTGATATATTTTTAGATGAAAATAGTGTTAGAATTTGAAATGTAGTTAAATTTTTAAAATAGTATGACTAAATGATAAATGAGGTAATGACTAAAAAGTTACCTACTAAAATATTAGCATCAGTTAGTAGTAAGTTTTAGGGAATATTTTTATTGTTAAGCCCTAAAGTGTTACACGTTTGTAGAAATGATGTTTACATTCCTTGGGGAGGAGTTGGTGCATGTGCATAATGCATTTTAATTCCTTTTTCCATATCCTTTCTTCCCTCCCTTCCTTGTGCCTCCATCTCTTGATTCTTTCCCCCTTTTAGAAAGATCTACCTCCCTACTTGCTATCTTTTATTTTGCTTTTTATTTATATTTTAGGTTTCTTATACAAGAGAAACCATGCAATATTTAAGCTTTTATGTTTGGTTTACTTCACAGAAGATTTTTATTTTGCTTTTTTCACTGTTGTGTGTACAACTTCTAAATTTCTAAAGTATACATATATTTCATATGTGCTTAGAAAAGCAATAGAAGTTTTTTATGTTTTTCCAGAGGTATGTGCAAGGTAAATCATCTAAGACTTTTTATTTACTTATATTTGAATAAAAAAGTTGGCAGCATATAAAAATGTTGGCCTCCATAACAAGTAAAATTTTTAAAAGATAAAATACAGATGAGGAGATAATATAGGTACAAATGTAAAATGAAGCCAGAATTAAGATTATTCTCCAAAACTATGTTGCCTTAAATTTTAGTATTTGATGAGGAGAGTTCTGAAGATGGTGGCTTGATAGGTAGCAGGGTGGAGAGCCTCTCTAAGAACCACAACTCAGACGCTAGAATTTAACAACATGGAGAAGATCAGAAAAAAGGAGAGGGATTCTCATGACCCAGGAAGAAACTGAGGAAAAAGAGAAAGAAAGAAAGGGAAAAACGTGGATGAAAGGCTAAAACCAGACGTGTTCACTGGGACTGGTCCTGCACTGTGCCGGGCGTGCCTTGGAGTCGGACAATTCATGGTTACACTGAAGCTGTGGCCACCAAAATAGGGAGTTGGTGAGTCCTGGGCCCTTGGTGGGAGGATGTGGCACAGTGTAAAGTAGAGTCAAGGTGGAGAGCTGCATTAATTCATGGCGAGTTCTGGAAATTGGGTCCTGCAGTGGGTGTGTCCGGCTGAAGGACGTATTGGAGTTGAGCAGGACAGGCCTGAGTCCAGCACTGCAGTGGCATCAGTCAGCTGCCCCTGGCCCTGAGAGGACTGCTGGGACCTGCTTGGGCTGGGTCACACCCCTGATCAGGACCCAATAGCCAGGGACAAAACTGTCCTGAACCTGTGACATCTGCACAGCACAGACTAATGTGCTGAAGGCACTCGACAGTTGACTGGCTCAGGTCCCTGCATGCACTTGAAATAACAGTAAACTGGAGAAGGCAGCAAGCCCCCAGCCAGCACACTATAGAAAAACTTTAAGCAATACAGAAAGGGTCTGAGACCTCCATCATACACCTGTCTGAAAGAAACCAGAAACATGACAAGAGAAAGAAATAAGAAAAAGCCTCCAGACACTGACCCTAGGAAAATAAGCCAGGAGAGGTAAATACAAAAGAGGTCCAGGGCAGCAATCATGCACTCTCGGCCACAGCATCAGTTGATATAAAGACATACTCTCGTGACCTCATAGATGAACTTAAAAATAAAATTCTAATTCAAGATATAGAAAGATTAATAAAAGAAATGCTAAGCCCTCTCAAGAAGACACAGATGGAAGAATGGAGGAAGCCACAAAAAGAAGAGAAAACTTTGGTGAAGAATATAAGCAAAATCTCGAATACATGAAACAGATCCAAAGAGATTACCAGGAAATTAAAAACCCCATTGAAAGCTGGCAAAATGCCTTGACAGAAACTAACGAGTTAGCCTTTCAAAACTTGAAGCTAGATTTGCAATGTGTGATCATGAAAGAAAAGATCTCTTAAAAATAACAAGGAACCAGAAAGTAACAATACAAAGGCTAGAAGACAACAAGAGGATCTATGACTTAAGAATAAAAAATGTGAGCAAAGAAGCAGGAGTAACTACAAATGAATTACAAAGGCTAATCACAGAAATAATTAAGGAAAACTTCCCAAGCATAGGAAAAAGAAGTGATATCCAGATAAATAAAACATACAGAACTCCAACCAACAACAACCAAAACAGATCTACACCCAGACATAATCAAGATCCCAGAAATTTACCACAAGAACAGAATATTAAAAGTGGTCAGAGAAAAGAAACAGATGATCTATAAAGGAAAATCCATCCAAATAATGACAGAATTCTCAACAGAAACTATCAAACCAAGAAGAGCTTGGAGTGAAGTAGTCCAAGCCCTGAAAGAAAATAAAGTCCAACCCAGACTTATGTACCCTGAAAAACTCTCTCAAAATTAATGGCGAAACAAGCTGTTTCCATGACAAGGAAACAGGAACTGTGGGAGTTCAGGACCACCAATCCAACCCTACAAAAATACTGAAGGACATTCTAGAGAAAGATAGAAAAGAAATACTAGAATTCCAGCAACAATGGCAGAAAGGCCTCAGTGAACAAGGCAGACAGTGGAATGAAGGAGAAAAGTGGACACACAATAGCAGAAAAATAGAATAGCAGAGATGAGGCAGAGAAGGTGGGCTATAATCTCTAATACAGATAGCCTTGATACACTACCAAAAAGAAACACAGGCAGAGTAGATCAGGAGATGGGATCAATCAAGATGCTCTGAATAGGAAATACACTCAACCTGGAAGAGGGTGAATAAACCAAAAGTCAAAGATGAGAAAACGATGCTCTATATGACAGGGAACCAGAGAGAAATAGGGACAACTCGTCCAGCAGCTGCAGATAGGTTGGAAAGTCATGACACTTTTGTGCAG